CTGTAAGCTGCTGGATCGCTTACTAGGTTGCGTAGGTGCGTAGCTGTTGACCCTGATGAACTGATGTCAAGGATATCTTCCAGTGGTTTTGTTTACGTAGCGCTTATCACGCTTGCTATGCCAAGTAAACAGGAACGTTGCACCTTTTGAAAAGGCTTAACGCTTTTTAACATTTGTACAATACCAATGAACAATTTGGGATTGTTGCCCTCATGATTGGTACAAAAACATTCTTCAGGTATTCGCTTTACTAACACTCAACATATACTCTGTGGCTAAGCTTTTATTTATTAAGCATTACAAATAATTGATGAAGCTGAATGGTTTTAAAATATTACCTCTTAAACATAGTACGTTAAGCCAAACGGAGTGCCATATGAATGATTTTAATTCCATTCCTTTACATGCTGCCGACCATTGTTCAACATGTACAAAGCCGCGAAGTTTTCCTTGATCCCAAATGAAGCAGTTGACGAGATCAATATGGTGATATTTGCATCGTTAAAAGCACCCGCCGCAGAGGTTTACCTTCGTTTCCATAAAGATTTTCAGATTTGTCGAATATCCCGAGAACTTTATATAGAACGGTAGCAATTGACTTACCTTTAGGTTAGGATTTGCCGAACGGTGTTCCATACTTATCGGAATTAATTAGGTTTTCTAATATTTATGTAGACTTATTATTCGCCATAATTGTTTTGCTTTGTTTGTTTTCAAAGTTGTTTGGGCCCAACGATTTTGTTGAATTTAAATATAAAAAAATTCCAATTATCTCGCTTAATTAGAATAGACTTAGACCATTTTTATTTGTAGCAATTCATGTGATGAAATAACTGTCTTTTAACGGTTTGCACTTTTTGCTCACTTCATAGGTGGATGAATATGCAGACACAGTAAGCGAAATCAAAGCTCAACTGAAAGCGGTGTAAAAGTAAAAAAAAAAAAAATATTTTAAAATAACGCAAACGTGAGTATTTTCGCATTTGCTAAAGATAACATCGAAAAATGTGATTGTTATCGCGACATAAAAGTAATTATTATAATATGCGCCCTCATTTTGATGAATTCGCGCTGCACCCATGAATTCATAGCAAAAATTAGAAAACTTTTACGAACTTAATCCTTCTTAGGGGTTAAAATCATTAAAAATTGTAAAGTAACTCAAAATAATCTTTGGATTTTTTAGCTTTACTTCATAAGAAAGTGTTTTCCTTAATTATTACTAAAGATTTAGTACCGCATTGGTTGTCAACAGATCCACAAATTGTTCGAAATTGGGTCCAAAGTAATTGCATAAAACTTACCTGTTTCAAGCTGATTGGCGCCAATTGGTGATACCAAGTAGAGCCAGGTTCCTCTCTATCTGGTCTTTTCAACGAAGTGGGAACATCCTCTTTCTTAGTTTTCACCGGCGGGTGCTGCATTTAGAAATCTCAGAGCTGGAGTATTCTTATCCAGCCGGACCACATGACCTAGCCAGCGTAGCCACTGCTTCTTGATTCGCTGAACTATGGGTCAAGTAGAAAGTTCGTTCGGTTTTTTTTTATTGATTTTTCAAAATATGTTAACTTTGTGTACATTTGTCCGATTTAAGTAAAATATGCCCTACTTCGTTCGTAAATTTGTTGCCAACGAGATGCCAACTTCATTATACCCCTCTCGTAGAAGGCTGCCATGGACAGGAAAATATGGTAATCATTCGGTGCCAGGTCCGGACCATAAGGTGGGCGCATTAGGACCTCCCATCCGAGCTCCTGGAGCTTCTGGCGCGTCACCAACGACGTAAGTGCTCTGGCGTTGACCTGATGGAACACAATACGGCCTCTGTTGATCAAAGGTGTCCTCTTCTGGATGAGTTCTGCCTTCAAGCGGTCCATTTGTTGGCAGTAGAGGGCCGATTTGAGCGTTTGGCCATAGCGGAGCAGCTCCTAGTAGATGATTCCTTGCCAATCCAACCAAACACACAGTAAAACCCACCTGGCCGTCAATCCGGTTTTGGAAACCGTCTGAGCCGCTTCCTCGAGCTTTGATTACGACCGTTTGCGCTCGAATATAATTATTAGCTAAGTATCTGAATTTTTTTTTTATTTATTGCTTTAATTAATATCGTAAACATATATGCACATTTTTTTTTTGTAATGAATTTATTTACATATTTGATTATTTATTTAATTATCTCTTTGTTTATTTGATTTATTTAATTTTGTGTATCTTATTTATTTTTTAATTTAAATTTATTTTCTTAAAAATTGTATTTCCCCAACAGGCATTCGTTTGGAAAAGAGCTGGACACACACCTTACATTGGCCAAAAATAGATTCAGCTGCAACGATTTATGTATTTTATTAATTTTTGATTCAATTTATTTATTACGACAATCTATTCAGGTTTTTATTTTATATAATAAGTTTTACGTATTTTTTTTGTGAAATATTTACGTAAATATCGTAACATTCCAGTTCAGCATTCCAAGAATGCCGGCAGATACTTTTTTTCTCAAAAGAATTCCAAACTTGTATGAACAAAATAATAAAAACAGCGAGAAAAACAGCAGTCAACACTTTTCACATGTGTATAAAAAATAATTTTGTAAACACGTTTATATGCATTTAAAATATGTAAATATGCATGTAAATATGCATGTAAAAATAAAATGCATTTCGGAAAATGTGTATGAAACAGCCGGAATTCGCTCATCTCGCTCTCCTCTCACAATCGTTTCAACTTAGGTTGTCAGCTAAACAAAAGCATAGTCGGCTTTTAGGCGCTTGTCGACTGTGGGCGCTGCTACTGAGACAGCGGCGCTCGAGAGCTTTGGTGCAACTTGGTGGCTGTGTGCGAGCCATAAAATTCAAGTGTAAATTGTGGCATGCACATGCATTGAGTGAGGAAACAACAAACGCATACCCAGACAAACTTCTTAGAATGCATATGTAAGTATATTTGTCAATGTAGATATGTGTTTGTGCGTATAATGCCAAGAAAATTGCTTGGTAGCATTTACAGCTAAAAGTCTGCAACTCCTTACTCTATTGCCTGCACTTCCGTCCGATTGCTGCTTTGATGGTTGCCTTGGCGTCAGACAGCATAACGGAATCACAGTCAATACACGCGCACAAAGGCGTTCAGGCACACAAATAAATTTGCTTATTTGCCAACCCGCTCTCATACAGACACATGGTAAACATTTCTTTTTCCATATGTGTTTGTTGAGTTGAATTCAAAGCCACAAACACATACACACTCATACGCACACAGTCAGAGTAACATACATACAAATAGGTGTTTTCCACGCTTTGACGCTGTGTACAATCGGTCGGATAAGTGGAATCCTTGCCAAACAAATCTGCATCGCTGACAACATGCTTTCCGTTCACTGAACTCACACACACACTAACGTAAGCATACACTCCTCCTTCAACTTCTTCGCATTGTTTGCTGGCATTTCTCACTGCGCCACTGCAATAGGATCTATCTGCTCGCATCACTCCCCGCTACACTCTACTCCTTTGGGTCGTTATGCCTTCGCGCCAACATAATTATTTTGTACTAAGTACTGCCAGCTCGACTCTGGATTGTGTTCTCGCTGCATTAGAAGTTGTCAGTTGTGGCAGCCACAGTAGGGTTAAGATATCCACAGAATGTCTTCAGCCGTCAGTGTGGAGCCATATAAAGATATTGAATTGTAAACAGAAAATCACAGAGAATGTTAAGTGAAGACAGCCGGAGAAAATGTGTGTTATTGGATGCGGCGTGTGTGAATCTTCTTAGATATACATACATAGATAGGACTTACTCGTACGTATAATTATGCTCGAAGCCAAAGAATTCTGTTGTTCTTCGAATTTTAGTCGATCGTTTGACATGGGGTGAAACACCCTATATGGATCATTCAGTGAAAATATCGGAATATCGTCTTCTTTCTCTTATCATTCCTACAAAATCTTTCGAAAGCAACCCTTAGCCTTTCTACCTCTTTTGCTATCTGTTCAGAGAGTGTATCCAGATAAACGATCTCGTTCAGTCACTATTCGGCCAGGATGACCAAAACAGCTTACAATGACCCTTATTGCTCACAGATAGTTGACCTTATCGATAAACTTCTAAAGGGCAAGTGCATCAACTTCCATCTGCTACTGAAATCTGTATTTCAATAATAGAAAAGCAAAGAAATGCCTAAAGGAGGTCCCTTTGCAAAAACATGGAAGTATACAATATTTTTAATTTAGACGAGTTTAGCTTAAGAAAACCTTAACAACTGCCAATCTGAAAAACGACTGCGCTAAATTCTGAACCTTTAGAAGGCATTAGAGCAATTATATTCACACCAATCCTCCTGCCGTAATAATCTTCATTCTTATTCTTATCGACTGAATGTTCAACCATCTAGATGATTCAACGCCTGGCTTAAAAATTTTCTGATTTATACCTGTCCTGTCAGGTCAGGTGACGTTTCGAGAAGATGATCAGCCAATGGAGGGAGTAAAAAAGGTAAATCTCGAAATTCAACAGGGATTTCCTTTCCATTTCCTTTAAAATGTTAAAATGACTAACTGACCTGCATTTAAGCCCAGTCCACCGTTGTAAAGTGTGTAGAGGAAGAATTTGTATACAGCACATACAACTCTCATTGAACTTCTTGATATTGAGGGGTTTTTTCATAAAGCTTTTCTGGTAGTAATACTTTGTTCACAGATAAATTTGCTGCCCAAGCTTCAGCATCACGTCTTAAATCAACTCCAAAATAACAGCATAAAACTTGAATGACTGAAGAGAGAAACATAAAGACGTCGGGCACCTTAAACTTCAAAAGAAGTTCCTTCAGCAATCGGCTTAAAGCCGTTTATTCTTTCTTTTCAACTTTTCTACACAAATCTCTAAATTTTTCCTTCCCCACTAATAATTGAACCACCGCCCTTAGTGTAACCAACACCATATATATTATAAATATTCACTCGTACATATTTTCCTATTTATACAATATTCAAAGTACTCACCACCAATTATTCCGCCTTCACAGTTCATCGTGTTATTTTTCACACCATTACCGCCACCATCCTCGCCAAAATGGCCAAAGTATGCAGTGGATAATTCCTGTTCGCTTTCTATGCACTCATCTTGTTGTTTTTCTTTTGAAATTTGTTTGCATTTTTGATTTTCCTGACTTTGCACTTTCGCTACGCGAAGTTTTACTTGAGGCCGCTGATTATTTATGAGCAAATGCGCGGTCTCGTCATCACGAATTCCTTCCTTTGCATCTCCCATAAGCGTCCTCAGTTGTTGCAGTTTCTCTTCAGTACTCTTAAATTGTGCCAAAGGCATTTCGGCCTCGTCGCCTTCTGTTAGAAGTGCAGCTTGTGACTTAGTACTCCTTGAGTTCGATGCCATTGCATCAACGACTGTTGAAGATAATAATTAATAGGTATATACGTATAAAGGATGTAGATATATATGTGTATAGATATTATAGAATCACGTAAATATTAATTGAATTAATGTATTGAGGTGACGACGCAATTGCCGAATTGTTTGCATTGCTTACTGATATTCGGAAGGCCAAGATTCGAGTGTTGTTTCGACCAACATCTGATAAATCTCCTCATAAAAAATTATCAGCCGTTCAGTGGAGGTTTAGAATAATCTGTTGGAAACATCAAGCAAACCCACAAATTGGAGGAAGAGCTGGACCGAAAATAGCTTCAGCGGTTACAATAAAACTAGAGTGAATTCTTAGAGACATTGGGATAGAAGCTAACGCTCATAGACACTCATCATTTGATCTCGGGGTAAAGTGAGAAAGCTAATCACTTGTAGATAGTGTGAAAGGCTTGGAGTCTGCCACTTTAATGTATAAAGGACGGAGATTTACGGGCATGGACACGGAATATTCGATGCTTTTTTATGTCAAAGCAACAATGCTTAGCGGGATAATATACTACGAATCTTATTGGCGGAGGAAATGAAAAAACGCGGCATATTTTTCGTTGCCTATGAAAAAGAAAAACTGGTAGCTATAATGATTACGATAATACTTTTATGGATCAGAATCATGAACGTAATATTAACCAAGCACTTTTAGCTACCATAATAAACGTTTAAGTTTAAAAGAATTTTGGTAAGGTATTCTGAGCTTCCTTCCTATTAGGGCTAAGATAAACGATAAATGATTTGTTGTCGAGAAGGCTATCTGCAGAGGGATAGCTGGAGCAATGAGGAATACGGACCAGAAAAGTGCGTAATATAGAAAATATATCAAGGCACATTTATCTCAATCGCTAAAGTAACCCTTTTCCAAGGTCAAGGGGATAAGGATCTGTCTGAATTTGATATTTCCGATTGACGGCAATCACCGTTCAGTTTGGCCTATAATTTATTCATGAACCGTCTTGCAAACGAACAATGCTTGTAAACTATTAAATTTTATTATCAAAATGCGTGCGTAAATAAGCAGAATTGTCGGTCTTGGAGTAAAGATCAACCAGAAGCATTGTAAGAGCTATCAGTGCATCCAGAAAAAGTCACTGTTTGGTGCGGTTTATGGGCTGATGGCATCATTGGATCGAATTTCTTCAAAGATGATGCGAATCGTAACGTAACTGTGAATGGTGAGCGATACCATGAGATGATATCAACTTCCACACAGCACGTGTAACAATGGACTTATTGATAGGCGAGTTCGGTGAACTTTCCTTTCACGTTTGCCCCCCGTCAATTGGCTGCCTAGATCGTGCGATTTAACGCGTTTAGGCTAGTTTTTGTGGGGCTTTGTTAAATCGAATGTCTATACAGACAATTCCGCTTCAATTCACGCATTGGCGGACAACAATGAAGCATTTATTAGTGAGATACCGGCCGAAATGTTGGAAAGAGTAGTCACGGTTAACATTTGCATGAAATAATCTTCGAACATTAAATTACATAGACCGTACTATCGATTCAAATAAAGATTTCATGCATTTTTCTGAATTTTATCAGGTGTACAACTTTGTTTCCGCCGTTTTTTTCCAAAATTAAAAGCTTTATTGCGAAAAAGTGCTTAGAGATATATTATTCAAAGCATTGTCCTTCGCTAGCGACAACTTTCTCCCATCTTTCCGGCAATATTCGGATCTCGGCTCGAAAGAAGGAGTCCTCTTTTGATGCTATCCATGAAGCAATCCATTTTTCCAATTCTTCGAAGGATTGAAAATGTTGATCTGCCAGGCCGTGTGCCATCGAACGGAATAGGTGGAAGTCAGAAGGGGCAACATCTGGAGAAAACGGCGGGTGGGCCAAGACTTCCCATTTCAGCGTTTCCAGGTAGTTTTTGCCCGCTATCGATGCGCTTCATCTGCTTTTTTTTCGAATTGCAACAGAAAAGTAAAACTTCCCGCAAATGGCGAGAATTAGGCACATAAACAGACATTTCGAGCGTGAATAATACGAAAAGAAGAACAACTGTCACTGAAACGGCAATGACAATTCGTTAGGTACTGTCCACACTCACTTTAAAGGCATTATCATCTATGTTTTTCAACCAGCCTCAGCCGGTAAAGCCACCTATCCGAAAACGGCGGAAGCAAAGATATACACCTGATATATATTATATCCATTTTTTTGGAAAATTTTCCTACAGCTCATAAAAAAGTCACCCTTTACATATGATAAGTATGTGTATATAAAGGTATACATATTTATGACTTTGTTGAGCAACAAATATAATATGTCAAGGGTTTTCAGCACAAACAAAAAATCTGCTTCAAACAATAAAAAGCACATGTCATTCGTTGTATGCAATAATTCTTTATATATATATTTAAAATATACATACATATATATTATTGTATGATATTTTGGTTTCAATCAATTTCATACACTTCGAACCGAAAGAATATTTTATGTGTTGGCACGAATAAATGAGTTTATTTCACTCCGAAAATACGGTCAATCTGAAGAGTTCTGCGCCTTCGTTTCCACTTTACAATCAACTGAATGCAAAAATTATTAATCTGCAGCAAAACTACATAGCTTAATTATTGCTAACACTGCTGATATGTATAGACAATGTGCACTTATATAAAAACAAATATGTTATATGTAAACATATGCATATGTATGTTCGTAGATAGTGCCACTCAACTCTTATGAATGAACGCATCGCGCCGGCAGTGCTCACTAATGAAAATCATGCGAATGTTTTTGAGTTATTTGGGCTTACTTTATAAACGAAAAAATGTGACTCAATAAGAAGATATGAAAATTTCTCAACGCGGAGAGTAGCTACAGTTGAAGAGAAAGGTACTCAAGGCATTTTTAATTTAATGAAGTAATTTTTGGAATTTATTTAGGCATTTTTAAAATAAATATTATATACAGGGTGCGCCATCTAAATTACTTCATTAAATTCTATTAAACTAGTCTGTTTTTTTTGTATTTTTTAGTAAATATTCCACAATAATATATAACATAAAAACTTTCGGTCACTCATATTTCAATTTTTATAAACCGAACTAAAGCCGATGTACATTTATTTCGCTTACAAAAAAGCCACATTTGAAATTTTTTTCTCTTCCTTTTGCAGAGGTTGTGATTGTCCGAAAGAATATTTTTTAAAGCTTTTAAAAAAAAACCATTTTCAATTATTCACACATAAAGTTGAACGGTGTTAACTTTCCGCTAAATAATGATCTTCAATCATCCATTCACGTATTTCCAACGGCCATCGCTCAATATATAAGTCGCCAATGCCAATGAAGTATTGCTCTTTAATAAACTTTTTCTTATTTAACCAAAGTAAATAAACAAAGAACTTGTTGCCTATTAATGAGTGGAGAGTATAAGACGCATTCTCATGCATAATATTGTCTATACATATATCTGTAGGAAAACACCACAAAACATGCTCCAGACTTACTCAATTAAAGCGACCAGATTATTATTTTTTATTAACGCAATATGCTTATTCAATTTAATTCGAAGTATTTACATGAAAATACTTGATTTTCAAACCTCTTCCTATGTATCATAATTTTCAAAAGTAATGAGTTTTTAAATTAATTTATATTTATCTTCTTTGTGTATCGAAAAATTAATACAAGAAAAAAGAAGAAAATAATTATCTACCGAAACACTCAACATTTATTAATTTTCTTAAATTAAACCCTTATCCTTGCCTTCATAAGAACTTATCAATTTTTATGTAATATATAAATATATTTTAACTTTGTTTTATTCTAAAAAATACTTCATTTAGATTTTCTGATAATTATAAAATTATATTATGTTAAGAATATGAATGTTAGAATAAATAGCGATTTATGTTTTATCTATTTACTCATTGCATATCATAAAGAAGTTCATAACAAGGGAGATTTGATTGAAAGAGTATTGAAAGCTTGTGTTTGCAAGTAGATTGTATTAAAAAATCGATGCAATGTTGCAGCAATAATTAAATACTATATTTTAAAAATAATTTCAAATACTACTTTTGAAATAAATGATATATAAATTAGACATTTGCTGTTACATCTGAACATTTATTATAAGTAATAAAATTGAATTCATGGAAAGGAAATTTTGAATATAACAAGTATTACAAATAATGCTTATGAGAGCAAATATTACTGTAAAAAAATTTTTTCTTTACCAGTTAATTTAAAATAATAGGAAAAGATTTATTTTGATATCGTTTTTAATGCTTTAAATCGCATAATCTTCTAACACTGGGGAGTATATATCTCTTCGCCATTATCATATTAACCGTCATGAAATACTGATGTCTGGGCACCTCTATTGGTGAGAAGAAATAAAAAAGGCATAATTACTCAATATTTTAAAATAGAGGTGTTTGTCAAAAACCACTCCGAATGCGCGCTCGAAAAACGCTCAAATGAAATGAAAAAAAAAACAGTTCTAAGGTTTATTTGATGACATACTTTTAGGCGCAATTTTTTATTTATAAAAATTGCTATTGTAATTTACTGAGTTATCACCGCAGCAATCAAATTAACATTGTTAAATTAAAATTTATCTCTGTTTCGTTTTTTGCATATTTTTATTTTATTTTACTTTATTTTATTTTTTCTTTGATAGCACATTTTCATATTATTAAACAAATATCATTAATGTTTATACCATAGTTAAATAAAAGTATCATTATGAGGTAGTTTATCTGCAGTTATTTCAAAACAAATCATATCAAACGAGTTTATGCATAACAAAAATAAATTTAATTCATTTTTCGGTTATCAAAATTTAATTTTTTGTTGTGACATCCTTCAAACATAATTCATTTGAATATGCCTCACTGATTTAATTACGGATATTTTTAATTTGTAAATCAATTTTTATTGCAAATATATTTCCTATTCGCTTTCTTTGCGTAAATATATAAATATGTATGTATACATTTTACGAATGATTCAAAAAAGTAGATTCGATAAAGCATTTTGAATTAAGTTAAATGCGTTTCAAATATACTGCACGTTATTCGAGCTTTCCATTCACTTTTTCGAGACTTTTTCAACTCAGTGAGGTAGTTCGACGCATTTAATTTATTTTGCACTCTTTTAATCCCAAAGACATATTATGTAAAATTTTAAATAACCACTCTCTATTAATTCTCACACCCACCAGGCCACAAATGCGGCGAATAACAGGAAATCCACATGCATGTGTTTGTATGTAAATTTATAGAATGCACAACTTATTTGCTAGCATATAGGTGTATATAAACATATATATTTACCCACATACAAATAAAGCCCTCTGCGGTTTTGTGGTGAACAGGCCCATCGTCATGCCAGCGCTCGCGCGACCAAAAACAGCGCATATCCTGAACCATATTTTGCTGATCATACAAAATATTGATTAAAAATAAAATTACGGAAAATGGTGTTGGGAGTGCACTCAGCGGAACACCATTTTTTCAATCTCCACTACATATAATCACTGTTAATTGAAAATCGCGAAGTTGTTGTTAAATATTTTTCCATATAAATATTTTTTGGCATGTAAGCAACGAAAACAAGAAAATCATGAAATAAATTATAAAAGGTAGTAATCAACAACTCAAAAGCCTCCCAATGCTTTACGAAGAGATACTGGCACACGGTGTTTTTTCTTTTGTTTTTTTTTTTTTTCAGAGGAAAATGCTAGCGAATCAATTTTTAAATTATGTAAATTAATTTTTTTAAAACCATGGGCAATATTTTTTTACATTGTACATATGTACATACATGTGTATGTATATTCAGTTTCTGAATTTTATCAAATAAATGATTTTTTGTTTCGGACGCATTGATTTACTGATGAAAGCTTTAAGCTATTTCATACATTTAGAAAAATATTACTAAGAATTTTTGTTTTTCCCCACTTTAACTGTGCATGCATAACAAAATGAGAAAGAACGGAGTTAACACATTACTTCTCTTTAAGGATATATAACCTAAAAAAATTGATAGAAAAATTAGAATAATTTATTAGAATTAACATCAAATAAAATACTTAAAAAATTTAAAATTAAGAGATATAAATTAAATAAGTAAAATTAAGAAAAAAAAATAAAAAAAACTAAATTTAAATAAACCAAAACAAAATAAAATTAATGAAAAAATAAAATATTAGACAAATTGAAACAAATGAAAATAAAATATAAAAAATAAATAGAGTAAAAGATATAAAAAATATATAAAATGTATCAAAAAAAAATTAAATAATACTAAATGAAAATGTAAAGAAAATACAAAAATAAAATGCAGTAAAATATACATAAAAGGGAAACCAAATTTAAAAAAACAAAATTAAATAATATTAAGGAAAATTAAATATAATAAGGTAAATTAAACAAATTAAAATAAAACAAATTGAAGTAAACGAAACAAAACAGAAAAAATAAATTAAAATGAAAAGAATATGCAAAAATAAAATGCATTAAAATATATATAAAAATTGAAACAAAATATAATAAAACAAAAATAAATAAAATAAAGTAACTTAACTTAAAATAAAACAAGTTAAAATAAAAGAAATAAAATAAAGTAAGCTTAAATAAAATAGAATTATATAATATAAAAAAATAAAAAAATTATTAAACTAATCTTAAATAAAATTAAACTAAATTAAACCAAATTGAATAAAAGAAAAAACACAAAAATTAAACGGAGTTAAAAATATAAAAATGAAACTGAATATAAAAACTATGTAATATTGAATAAAATTATAAAATTAAAATATATAAATTTGAATAAAAATTAAAAAATGAATTACAAAAGCTGAAAATAAGATAAAATAGCATAAAACAAATTAAATTAAATTAATTTATATAAACTAAAATGAATTAAAAAAAATAAAATGAAATAAAACAAATTCAAACAAAAGCAAATAAGATAAAATAGAATAAAATATCCTAAAATAAAATAATATAAGATAAAATTAAATAAAATAAAACACAATAAATAAAATAAACGAAATGAAATTAAATTAAATACAATAAAATAAAATACAATTAAGTAATAAAATAAAATAAAAAAATAAAAAATTAAATTAAATTAAATAACATTAAATTTAATCATACAAAACAAAAAAAAATTAAGAAAAATAGAATGAAACACAATAAAATAAATCAAATTGAGATAAAATAAAAACACAATTAAAATTCAATGAATTAAATTAAAGAAAAATTAAATGAAGCAAAAAAGGATATATTAAAAAAATAAATAAACTAAGTGAAATAAAATTGAAAAAAAATTGTTAAAAATAAAAACAAATAAAAGAACAAGGTGAAAAAGGCAATAAGGACAAAATAAAAATAGAGTTGAATGAGATGAATAAGATAAAATTAAATGAAATAAAAAGTGCTACCCAAATTTACTCTTACGACTGTGATATATTACAACTCAAAGTCGAACGTTACCAATAGAATGGAATTTCGAGCAAATTATTTGCACTCTATGAAAATTACCAGACACACCATAATCTAAAAAATCATAAAATAAATTCTTTACCGAGATCTAGTTGCATCGGGAGTTCAAAGTACGTATTTTACGAACTTCCTTCGCAGACAATGATGACTTTGTTACTTCGGTGGCAGAACGCCTAACTCTAATTAGTATAAAAACGTATTGGAAAAGTATAAAAAATATACTCAGTCCTAGCGATAATATTCTCTTAAGGAAACAAAATTTTTAATTTTGCAAAGATTGTCCAATCCTAATGTTCGATAACCTCCACTTTGTTATGCACATTCTAAGCTTAAAAATGAAAATAATCTTTATTGCCGTCTAAAATTTTAACATTTTTACCAAATCCATGTTATTTTCAAATGTCAATTGATTTCAATTTCGTTTCACTTTCGGTTTGCTGCAAGTAAAAGAACAAACAATTTGAACCATTTCTTCTTAGACTTTCAATATTTGAACATTATAATCCAGCTGTCCCACAATCGCAGACAAAACGCCCAAACAGTTTAATTTCACTCTCCCCCAAACACTTACTCTATCCACTGTCTAATTCTTTTATGTGTACGTTACAGCGCAGAGAATTGCAAATACGTGTACAGTCTCACCCACTTTCCCCTGTTGCACCCGCTGTCAGTGGAAGAAGAGCAGATCGAAGTGGAGCAACAGGAATGAAAACAGCCAATTGCGTGACAGGCAGTGCAACGGAAACCAAGACGCTAAAGTCACAGTAGCAATCGTAGCATAATTCACTTTTTCTCTTGAAATGTTGCTCGTACATACATTTGTATTATTTATAAGGTCGTTGAAGATGTTTTTTTTTTTTTTTTTCCAAAACACAATATCTTTGCTGTTGTTTTTTCAATGGAAATTCATGCCATTCTCTGCTTTTCACAAAAAATATTGAAAAATATTTTTCGTTTTTAATTTTTTTCCTCTGCAGTCCATTATGTACTTTGCTCGTAGTTCTAATGTGTTTTTGCATTCTCTCTTTACTTCTTCTATCCTTCGGCATCCGAACGTTCGCAATTACATTCAACTTCAATAACATTCAAATTGACAGCTTAAATTCTGGAATGTCAACTTAAGGTTTCAACAATTCAATTGTTTCATCCAAATTCTCGAAATTTATTTTGAAACTTTGAGTAGTTAAATTAATTAGAAATGGTAGAGGAGGTTTATTGCAAAAGGGAACGTTCAGAATACAGAATTGTTGTTTTGTTTTCTATTCTCCTTTTTTATTTTATTTTTTTCATACATACATAGTTCTTATGGAGTTCGAAAAGGTTTGGTAAACGTTACAAGTACAAGTAGTACAATGGACGAGGCTTGAACAGAAGGAGGTCGAAGTTTATGAAATCTACTACAGCGCCATATAAAAGAGCAAAAATTCAGCGCTGGATTTGAGAAAAAGTCACACCGTCGTCAGGTCCTGACATTTGCCACGTGATTGATGAGTTGGTTCGAGAGGGCATGCATAGAGGAGGTTAGCATCGTGCGGGGACTTATTGCATGCAGGAATATTCAGATCAATATTGTGCCAGTATTACTCGGGTCTCTCAAGACTGCTCGAGCTCTTCATCTAAAATAGGCGCTGATTCAACTCCGAGAACGGCACGCATTGGAAGAGAGTTCAGGAAGGTATTCAAGGCGTCTTGTCCATCGTTTGTTCTAAAATGGTCTGAAGCAGTCCTGGGTGGTGGCGGTAGCTTCTAATAAGTGTATGTTGGGGTGTTGGTATATTTCCAGTAGGAATTGTCCCTTAACTCGTATCATAGATAATTCGCGGTGATAGTGATGCCCTGAGAGGAGGTTTCCTGCCACGGTACTGAGGGCGGTGTTTTGACAGGCTTGTAGCTTCTTCGTCGGCATCTCGCTTGTCCCCGGCGCCCAGAACAGAGCAGCGTAGCTTACGACCGGCCGGCCAATGGTCTTGCAACATTCTATTATATTTTCCCCTGGCACTGCCGGCTAACGCTTTGATTAAAGCTGAAACATATGAAGACCCCATACAACATGTAAAAGCGATACTGGTTAGGTGGATTGTGCTAACTATTCACCTCACAAACAAAAAGCATAGACTCACTGCACACTGATGAGTCTCCTGAAGACACACCTTTAAACCAAGCAGTACAAAGCGTTCAATTCTGGTTATCAGAACGAATTAAACGATGGAAATATCTACAAGAGTTAAGGGAAATGATATTTTCATACTTCAGTCGAAAGTATTATGCGTGGATGGTGTTGGTGTTTTTTCTAGAAACTCACCTTTAAAACCTTCTTTTCAGGCTACCAAACATTTGAGCTCCCTGGCAGCATCGTCTGTTTCCTCTAGTTAGGTTTTGCTGAAGAAAATTACTCCTTATTGAGTTATACAAGGTAAATACAGCATCCATGGTGGTCGGAGACACATTACTTAATTGTAAACTTGTCTTTTGATTGCCTTTTTCATTTTGCAGTCTCTGTCGACTTCGTGAAAAATGTTGGTGTGGTCTTTATGGCAGCTTGGCTATCTACACAAATACGTTTAATCTTTCTGTAGCATATGGAGTTGCCATAAGCTATGTGGACCTTCTTGACAAAAAACTCGTTGGTATCTCCGTCTTCACTGTCGTGGGCACCACTTACCCGATTATAGCCAAATCGGCAATAGCGCGCAATTTGGTTCTTCTCTTCGTTGTTTGGCGCCAGTTGGAAATACCAAGAACACACTTAAGTTCCAAACAAGCTTTCGTCGGACAAAATTCTTAATGTTTGAGTAGTACAGCCGGTAAGCCATCTTCTCCGGCCGCTTTGTTATTCTTTAAGTGGGTAATCGCTATCCGAACCTCGTCATAGTTGGCTAACGGAACGTTTTTTCCGTAATCATCGATTGGGATTTTTCCGGTTTGCCATCTTTGGGTGTTTCATTTTTACTGTCATTCAGCGGGCTGGATATCCCTCCATACACCGAGTATGCTAAGGATAACCGTTTTCAGATTTCCACATTGCAAGCACCTACGATAAGAGTTTATTTAAGAGCAGAGTAGACCACCTGACGATGCGGCTTGCAGTAAATCTAGCCTAAATAGGATAGAAAGAGGTCATGTCAGTTATAATCGCTAACCTAAGAGTATTTATCTGATATCTGATTGATAGGAGTATATTGGAAAAGTTCTGGAGATTATTAGAGATGCTACCGACGACAAAAAGAAAGAAATGTGGCTACCCTAACTTGAGTGGAACTGGGCTCCGATATCTGGGAGCAAAATTCTGCGAAGATTTGTCAAAAACAGCTTAAGTAGTTCTTTGACTTCTTAGAGATCGTAAGAAAATAAAGACAAATTTTCAAAATCTTTTTAATGTTTATTTTTTTCGATTTTTTTTTTTTACTTAGAAAAAAAATTTATTTTAATATTTTCTGAATATTATTTCGCTTACACTATATAATATGAATGCATACACGCAGTACTTAGATTAATGACAAGCATAAATTTGAATATATATATTTGTAATAAAATAATGGAGAAATGAATATCTTGCGATAGTATCGACGAAGATTATCTGACAAAATCATATTAGTTCATCATTTTCATTTTTCTATATTAAATAAGTAAACTAAATTATCTAAATTTTCAAAAATAAAAAAACTCAGTTTATGTTCTGGCAATAAAAGGAGTCTTAATTTGCCTTTGGCAATTGTTTGTTGTCATTTACCCGATTTTCTTCCATCAATAAAATATATATAACTACGAGCCTAAAGGTGCTGTCAGACGCAGCAATTAATTTATTTCCAATTACATGTAAAATATTTCAAAAACTAAATTCAAGAGCATTCGTATGTAGCAGCATTACGGCTTTCTTGAATGAAATTTTCTAGAAATCAGTTTATTTCACAATAATTTAGTAAAAAATCATCTCTGGCAATGCTCAAATCCTTTGATAGCAATTTCAAGAGAACAAAAGTCAATGGTGTAGCACGAGGCACAGGAAATTTAATTGCAGCAAGCAAATTGCAGCCAAGTGAGTGCATTCAAATACAGCAACTTTTTCTACCTGCAATTATGAAATTTTAAATAGAAATTTTTTCGAAGCGTTAACACCGCCAACAGCAAAATGTGATGAGTGTTTTGAACGACAGCACCTTAAAAAGCAACGAAATGAGGTAAACACAACAGCAAATAAGGGTAAACTGAAGCACAGCGGATCTAAAATGAGAATGATTATTTAAAAATCTATTTTAACATCAGCTACGGCGTAATGGGGAAATAGTTATCAATGAATAAATAGGTTTGAAAATCCTGAAAAAATTACAATAGCAAAGAATTTCAATGTTATTCTGCCATTTTTTTTAATAAAAATTCATAAGCCACTTACTGAAACATTGAACTGGCTAAGACTGTGGTGTTGCGTCTTGATGTGCTTCCAACAAATGGAAGGACCTACAGTTTATACTAAGCCGCCTTCGACCGGCTGATGGTTTTTTTTAATGAGGAGTCTTTATTTCTTGCCAGAGATACAATCGAGGGGTTGACATTCTGATTGATACTAACTCACAAAGCTTGTAATAGCTTTAAAGATGCCAAACTCTAGGCTGCTGACAGAACTATTAACAGGGCATAGCATTTTGACGTCACATGATTTTAATATAGGTCTGAATGTGGGCAACAAATGAAGGATATGCAAGGTATGCGTGGAGATAGTCTAGCACATAATATGTGACTATCCGAGATTCGGCAGGCAAAGGCTACGCTCATTTGTTGCAGAAAGGCTACATGATCTTCAATCAGAAGTGGCAAAGGGTGGAGCATGACTACTTAGGTTCACGAAAAGAACAGCAATGTTCCTCAAACAAGAAACATGTGGTATATGTATTATCGTCTATGGGAGACCCAATGAGAAAAATTTTTTAACTGAAAAGAGAAATTTGTGGTGCAAATTGTCAACAGTCTGTCTATAGTTAATGAGAAGGCTCACTCGAAGAAAAAAAAAATTCTAATTTGAAATTCGGTGCTTAGGAGTATTTCACTTATATTGACAGGAAGACTCCTTTTCTCTCCTGCTAATAAATTTCATAAAAATCAAATAAATATTATATATTACTAGTAGGCAACTAACTAGTTGACAACTAGTTACCAAGGAACAAGTTTCTAATTAGTAAAATTTTGCTTCACTTTTGATATCCTTTTTTATTTCTGTGAAAAAAAAAATTTATTAAATAACACACTGTTCGCCACAGAGATTTTCCCAAGATGTAGATTCTCGATTTCTTCACTTCTATTTTACAACAACAAATTTTTTATTTGTCTAACGTCTATTGTTCGTACGCTCACAGCGTTATTTGTCACAATTCTTGTCGGCAATGATGTTGTTGCATGTAACTGTGTTTTATTTTTTTTTAATTTTTTTTTTACTTTTTGTAGTAAAACACTTTCTGCACTACACTACAGCAACACGCTCATTGTGCTCGTTCGCCGGTTGCCACACTTCAATGTGCTGAATGTTGCACGTTCCAAAGTGCCACATGATTTCCCAGTTGGACAATGATAATTTTGATATTGTTGCTAATCCCCAGCAGTAGTTGCTACAACTAACAGCAGCAGCAGTAGTAGCGGCAGCGGCAGCGGCATTACACAGCTGGCGTGCCTCTGTCCAACTGACTACCAGCTAATCTGAGCACAAGATAAATGTTGCTACTACATACATACATATATATTTTTTCATTTTTATATTTGTTTTATTGTTTACGTTGGAGTTGTTGTTTTCTTTCGCATGTCATTACATATGTTTGCAACTTCATCTTTGCTATTTTATTTTTATTTATTCGTGCCTTGTCTTGTTTAGTTTTTGTGTACTTTGTTTCGTTTTTTTCACAAATTATTCATTTCTTACTTATTTTAAGTTTTTAACTTTTTTGTTGTTATTTATGTTCAACATTTCGTGACTTCTCCACCTTAGCCGAGTTATCTGCTGATTTCTTACTTGACTGCAACTTGGGTTTAACGAGGACATTGTTGACCGTCGCATTTCCTTCCGTCACAACGCCATTCACAATCAACTGTCCAACCGAGTTCGAAACTCCTCGTGTACTCCCCCGAAAGCTTGAATTCTCGCCATTCGCCTCCATCCAGTTATGCTCTTACCAAAATGCAACTCACTCACCCCTTCGGCTGACACACCGCCCTCTCTGCGTTAGCTAAAGTTCTATGTTTATTCTACCGCTGACATTTGCCGTCCTCATCGTCGTCGGCATCGCCTAGGACACTCCTGTGATGGACAATTGCTCATCTGCGTAACTTTTATAAACTTGTTCTGCTTCACTCAATTGTTATTGCTGTTGTTGTTGTTCTTTAGCAACTCGCGTTCGACTCTTGCGCCATTGCCAGTGACAACCCTGCGATGAACTGCCATTTTCAGCTTCTTCAGTTTGCGAAGAACTCTTCCTACTATTGCCGTTCACGCTTTTGCTGGTATTGCAATTGATGTTGTTGTTGTTGTTGCTGTTCGTGCAGTTGTTCATTTCTTGCAATACTGTGCCAGCAGTGTTTGTTGCTGTTGCTAAAGTTGTTGTGCTTTCCTTCACCGCAACTTTTCCAAGTGACACATTCCTTTGGCCACTACCAATGGCAGCCGAGGCGGCAGCAACACTTTTGACCTTTCTCTTGTCTTGCTGTTGCATTTCTTTGGATTTGATTTGTTGCTTTTGTTGTTCAACTTTTTCTCTCTGCTGGTGTTTTTGTGTTGTCACACACGCCTTGGGAGCTCCTTTTAATTCAGGTGAGCATTTTCGTGTCCCCTTTGGGGAATTTCGATTGCTTCGCACTGGAGGGAAGAACAAGAAAATAAAAAGAGAGCGTAAATATTTTATATGATTTGAATTGAAAATTGTTAAGATTTGTTATTGAAAATTTTAAGTTAAAAACCCAAAAATAGGGACCTAAAAAGTAATTTTCTGACTGAAGTAATTCGTATATTGAAATAGACTCGGTTTCACTTACTAACTAAAAAAAAGCGACTGACTCTGAACAAGGTAAATATCTTTACCATTTCTTAAATTACTTTGAATCAAAATTAATTTATACTACCAGCCATCGTTTCACAAACATAAATACTTTCGATTACATAGGTCCCTTACATAGGTCAAATCCAAGAAAAGCACCATAAAACTTACCTCATCTTTTCTCCATTTCACTACCTCGAATCGTTTGAAGTAATTTTCGATCACTTTTCAACACATATTGAGTTTAAGGTTTACCCTCTTTCGCGTAGCTTCACCGAAAAAAAGGTTCAACGGTGCCAAAACCCAAGACAAGGGATTATGCGGGAAATTTATCTCGCAATAAAGCTATGTCGTATGACATGAGGTACCACCTTGTTTAAACCACATACTGTCCAGGTCTTCTTCTTCAATGGCAGGTAAAAAAAAAATCGGTTGTCATATGGCCATAACGCTCCGAATCGGCAGTAACAGCGGACAGTAAGGTTTTTTTGCGTGTTAAGGTCTCTCTTCAACTATTTGAGAAAATCGGTGGCGACTGCTTGTTGTACAAGCACCCAAACGACCTATGTACGGCATTTTGAATGGTCTTTTGGCTTCAGTCCTTGTTGGACTTATAGGTTGCAGGAGTAAATCTAAGTCCAAAATTTGCCTCAATGTGCCATCGGAAAGTCTCAGCTCTTGGGTACGTCGAGAAATAGAGATACTCCCGTCTTCGGCTACACTTTCACTTACAGGAGTGATATTTGAAGAGAAACGAGCACAACGATAATGCCAAGACCTTACTATATCTATAGCTGACCCAGTCTCCTCAAATTTCTTTCACGTATGTTACGTATTGGTTGATTACTTGGACGATTATGTGCACCAAAATGTCTTCTTAGTCACGCTTCTTGCATTTAAAAGTTATAGAAATTTGATTTAAATAGAAATCGGCAGAGAATGCCCACCCCTCCGAGTATATTTTTGACATGAAACAAAGCTCCTAATAAAAAACCATCGCATCATCTTTGAAGAAGTACTTTCCAGTGATGCTACCAGCTCATAAACCGCACTAAACTGTAACATTTTCTCGATGCACTGGTAGCTCTTGCAATGCTTCATCTGCTGATCTTCACTCCAAAATCGACAATTCTGCCATTTTGATAATTAATTTCAATGATTTGCAAGGGTTGATCATTGTAAGACGATTCATGGTTAAATTAAAAACCAAAGTGAAGATGTTTGACGGTGATACAAAAACACGAAACGTGCGACAGCTGTTTAAACCAGAGTTGCAAAAAATAGGTAGGCAAAAAATCTATCTTTATATGCGGTTGTTAAGCGATGCGTTTTCATAAATGTCTGACTTTAGCTAAAAGAAAACATATTTGGTTTGACAGTTGAGTTGGGGAGATGCCAAAATGCAGTCTTCTACTTTTGAAACCCCGAAATACTATATTAGTGTTCGTTAATAAAATAACAAGAACGCAATAAAAAAAACTTTATTAAAAATAATTTTAAACTTGAATTCAAAAGTAAAAATAAGGGCGTTTATTGGCCTTGAATAATATATATATAGTATACGAAAAAAATACAATTTCAACCTTCAAGTTTCGATCAGAAATACTTAGGCTAACTGATAAGAACTAAAATAAATCATTAGTTCTACTTACACTTTTAAATACTTTTATAATCTAGCAATAAATTTAACCCAATTAAATATACACCTTAGTATAGAGCCCCATACAATCATCATGACTCCGTCAAAAAAGCATCTACCGTTATGAAGTTCGGTCCAGTTATAATCGTATTTACGACATTGCCCTCGGAAATCATCGAAGTCGAAGGAATAAATTATATTGCTCTCATACAACTGATTTGTTCAGATATAAGATTTTGGGTCAAAAATCCATATAAAAAGCTTCTGAAAGCATGAGCTTTGGTATTATATACACACCCATACGAATAACTAATCTCCGAAAATTATCGAAATCAGACGATAAAAACATGTAGCTGTGATTTCTTCAGATATGTGGCTTTTTGTCAAATTTGGAATTATACTTACAAATAATGACTCAAACATTGAAATACATAGATGATAATGCCTTTAAAGTGAGTGTGAACAGTGCCTAACGAATTTTTATCGCCCTTTCAGTGACAGTTGTTCTTGTTTTCGTATTATTCACGCTCGAAATGTCCGTTTATGTGCCTAATTCTCGCCATTTGCGGGAAGTTTTACTTTTCTGTTACAATTCGAAAAAAAGCAAGTGAAGCGCATCGAATGCTCTCAGAAACTTACGGTGATGCTGCTCTGAGTGAAAGAACGTGTCGGGAGGGGTTTCAACGTTTTAGAAATGGTGATTTCGATGTCGAAGACAAACATGGTGGTGGAAGAGAAAAAACCTTCAAAGATGAACAACTAGAAGCATTGCTTGATGAAGATTCGTGCCAAACCCAAGAACAGCTTGCCGAATCGTTGCCATTTCAAAACGTCTAAAGGCCCTGGGCTTGATTCAGAGAGAAGGAAACTGGGTGCCATACGAGTTGAAACCGATGGACATCGAGCGCCGTCTATGTTTATGCGAGCAACTGCTTCAAAGACAAAATCGTAAGGGGTTTTTACTTCGAATCGTAACCGGTTATGAAAAATGGGTTCGATACGATAATCCTAAACGCAGAAAATCATGTGGAAAGCCCGGGCATGCTTCTTCGTCGAAGGCAAAACTGAATATTCACGGCGCCAAGGTTATGATTTGTATTTGGTGGGATCAGCTCGGTGTGATTTACTACGAACCCTAAAGAAAAGCGGCCACAATATCGAGAGCGAAATGACAAAGTCATCTTCCAACACGACAATGCTCGGCCTCACGTCGCGAAAGCGGTCAAAAACTACCTGGAAACGCTGAAATGGGAAGTCTTGGCCCACCCGCCGTATTCCCTGTATGTCGCCCCTTCTGACTTCCACCTATTCCGTTCGATGGCACACGGCCTGGCAGATCAACATTTTCAATCCTNTTATTTTATTTTATTTTATTTTATTTTATTTTATTTTATTTTATTTTATTTTATTTTATTTTATTTTATTTTATTTTATTTTATTTTATTTTATTTTATTTTATTTTATTTTATTTTATTTTATTTTATTTTATTTTATTTTATTTTATTTTATTTTATTTTATTTTATTTTGTTTTATTTTAAATTATTTTATTTTATTTTATTTTATTTTATTGTATTTTATTTTATTTTATTTTATTTTATATTTTATTTTATTTAATTTTATTTTATTTTATTTTATATCATTTTATTTATTTTATTCTTTTTTTGATTTTATTTTATACGTTTTAAATTATTTTATTTTATTTCATTTAATTTTTATTTTGTTTATTTTCGTTTTAGGTTATTTTATTTTTGTAACTTTATTTTATTTTTTTTATTTTTTTTACTTTCCACTGTAAGGCTATGTATGAAAAGAGCAAAGAGGTTATCGCTATATTTCCGACGCCTTGCTTTAGTTCTCGAAACCAATACTTTCGTATTGCATTTGTATATACAGCTGTTTGAATTATATATAAACACTTACGTTAATAACAAATTGTAATGAAACCTATGTTTGTTTATTATAAACTAGAGAATTTATGCACTTTTATTCGGAGACTCGTATAATTGTTGTGAGAAATATAATTTTGTGATCGTATTATTATTATATATAGTTTGTTTAATATGTAAATTTATTTGGTTAGTACCGCTCCGCTTTTTCTACTTAGTGAAATTGTAGCATAAAATAATTAAAATTAATTAAATATCGTTACATTTCATCTATTAATGATATTTAGAATAATTCGCACTTTTTCTGTGGATTCATTTTGCTGCCCATTTCACACTTAAATTCACTCGCAAAATCAGCCAGATTGGCTAAAGCGCCGTTCACCCGCAACGGCTCTGGTGTTTCATAAAATTTCGGCAGCGACTCGTCATAATCCACACAAAATTGCTGAGCAAAACCAATGAAAAATAGTTGCTCCGGCGTGTAGTCTAACAGCGGCAGTGTCTCTTTGCTCAAGACATCCTCCCGGTCGGCGACATTCTCCCACCAATTCTGATAGGCGCGTTGCGCAATCGCCAGAGCGCCGCTATCCAAAATGCTCTGCTCCTCCGCCTTGGCGCTAAACATGTTCTGATTACGGTAATGAAAATTGTTGTAATGATTTTTAGCAAAACATTTCGCTGTCTCATCGTAAGTCTGTGTTGAAGGCGCATCCCACCACGAACGCTGATAGCCATGCTGATCATAACGGCGACCGGAGGCATCGAAACCGCGCAACATTTCGTGGGCCAGCAAGAAGCCCAGCGTGCCGAAGCGCAGCGCATGCGGATACTCAGCGTCCCAAAAGAAGCGTGACTGCAGAAACACAATTGGTATTTCGATGTTATTACTCGTGGGATTGTAGCGTGGCAGGCGCACCTCTTGCTGCGTGGGCTTTGGTTTGGAGAATAGCGCTTGTAACTCGTGCTGTGTATGCCATTCCAGTATGTTGATCAAATTACTGTAATATTGACCAGCATGTAAGTCGAGGTCGCGTAGCTGATCGGCAAGTTCTGTATCTTCATGCGCTATTAAACGCAGACGTATCTTCTCCAATTTCTGAACAGCATGCTGCCGCGTGCTCTCCGATATCCATTCGAGATCCGACGAGACAAGCTCGTCGTGGAAGTTGTTTTTGATATCTGCCCAAGTCGATTGCAAATCGTTTACCATTAATATATTGTTGTAGTTTCGATTGAACATGGCTTGCAAATGCGCTGGTAGAAAAGAGATGATCTTGCGTACGCACCAATTATCATTGTTGGGCGTATTAATTTCGCCGGAGAAATCCAAATGATCCAGCACACGCCACATTGTATAGTTGGCAATGTGCAATTTGGGCGTATCCCTTATAACCTCAACCAAATTGCCCAAGTACTCTTCGGGTGTCTCATAGACCTTAGAGTAAATTGTCTGATTGACGACAATCGTCAAGTAGCGATTGAGGTCGACATAATTGCCATAAGCGGACTTTAGTTCGCTCACGAAACGCTGACGCGTCGTCTGCTGCAGCGTGAGTTGCGCATTATCCGGTAGACCTTTAGCCAAATGTTGTTCAATATCCAGCACTTGTTGTGCCACCTCCTCCGCCCATTGTTCGCCCATTTCTGGCAAGTATTTGTGTAATTTTTCGACTATGTCATCTTTATAGTCATCTCGTTCGTCATCATAGCTACTGTCCAAGTAGATTTGCTTGCTACCCAATTTTAGCTGCGGTGCACCAAGCTTTAGCCTATTCATGCCTTCCTCTTCAAAATCCGGCACCACTTCCAAGCCAATCAGTATATTTACGCCCAAACGCCGCCGCAACTCGGCTACAATCTTCAACCAATCAAACTCATACTCATACCAACTGTGCGATTGTATTGCCGGCCAGCCGCCACGAAAGTCGACAAACTTTTTAATTGGCTCCAGACCTAGTTGCTTTAGGGCCACCTCGTTGCGGCAAGATTCGAAGAATTGCGTGAGCTTACGATCCGCAGAGTCGTCCAACTCTCGTCCGTTTTGTAGCATATCAGCGCTCTTACGCACATACAGATCCTGCAATTGATCTAAATAGGCGGTTCTTGGCTTGCTCATGCTGGCAGCATGCAATTTACGCCATTTGCCACAGGCAAACTCATAAAAGTCATCACAGGTATCCTTGTCGGTATCGATGTAGGCGCGTATTTGCGCAGCTTTCGCCATACGCAGGATGCCGCTACTGTAGTTTTGTGCGACGGTGTATTGCCATGAAAGTGCGAGGCTGGTGGAAAGCACTGCGAGCATTAGCAGCGCATTGTTGTGCGGAGAGGCACACATTTTTGGTGAAGAATTTGTATGGAAAATCTCGTTTGTTTTTCTGCAATTTTTTTTTTATTCTATTTCACTTTTTCTTGAATTTACCGTTTAACGTCTACCGTAAGTGAACCGTACGCACCGTTTGTCCAACACTAACTAATCAACCCTGTCTGTCTATCGGCAGCCGCATCTCCGCCTTCTACTCAAAAGTCCATATCATTTTTCTCATCTTACATTTTAGCGCAAGAAATGCCGCTGCCAACGTTAATTGAGTTAATATTTTTTAATTAATTGAACATATTTTAAACGATTAGCACGCGCTACTCATCAGCAGCTGGCACATAATTGACGCTCGCACTCGGCGCTGTCCACAGTCTCACACTCGTTTTGCGGGATTATTCATCAGCGAATTTGTTTGAATAAATGTTTTCATTTGTCTTTACTTAGTAACGCTCAATGTCTTTACTTAAACATGCATATACATACGTCCGAGCTTACATACACACGGTTATATATAGTGTAATACACATCACTTAAGAATCGGCTCTTTACGGCATGACCTAATTTAATTACGCCCAGCTAGGTATTTCTCTTTATTGAATTACATTATTATTTGAAATTATGGCGAAGTATTTAAACGTTTACTTTGGCCACCAGACGTCTTGTTTTCCTAACCAACCACATCAAGGTCAAATTAATTACTTTGTTAATTAGAAAATTCGGTTATTCAAAATAAACAAAATTTAATGAGTTCGCTTTAGAAGTCAAACACATGGAGATTTCATTTGATCAATTTCGCCGAAATCAGCTGGGCGAAATTTCTTTCATATTTTCTTCTTTTGAGCCATCATTTCTTCCGCTCGAGGGACTCCCAGCGAATTTGTTTACAAAAGTGGGATGTTTAAGAACTCCCTCCCCCAATAGGAGTGGATTGGTGGAGGTGAAACATTAAGACGCTGTCGTTTTGCTTCTATATGTCGAGCTCAGTTATTCTCAGTTGCGTAATCCGGTAGCCAGAGGTTGTTTCGAAACTATTCGCGTGGTGGGAGAAATGGGCATGGGGCGACGAATAAATTCAAATCTGAAGCTCCTGTTTTTGCCAGCAGTTGCTTTCGTCATCATGATTTCTGCTCATCCATCCGTTCGTATTGATGTGCAAAATGACAGTTGAGATTAGCTATTCGAAACGCACCCAGAACAATTTGCCCGCGTATACTACTGTGGGCAAAAAGTAAGTTGAATTTGTTTGTAAATATCGTCGCCTTCAAAATAGTCCCCTGCCGATGCAATCCTTTTATGTGAACGCTTTTTCCAATTATCGAAGCATGTCAAATAGTCACGTTCTGGTATGGCCTTCCGAGAGCGCGCCTATTCATATTTGATCTGCTTAATCGACTCAAAACGGTGTCCTCAAAGTGGTCTCTTGAGTTTTTTCGAAGAGCCAGAAACCACATGTTGCTAAGTCCGGCATATACGGTGGTTGGGGAACGATATTCGTGGAATTTTTAGCGAAATTGTCACGAAGATTGAGTGCTGTGTGCGACGGTGCATTATCGTGCTGCAAAAACCAAGAATTGATGGCCTCGTTCTTACAGATCCTTCTGATATTTCAACTATATCAGTAAGGTCTCCAACAGTCAATCGACGATTTTTTAGCACAAATTTCTTAATTTCATTGATGTGTTACACATCAGTTGACGTTGATGGTCGTCCCGGGTGCTCCAAGTCATCAACACGTTTCCGACCCTCTTTGAAGTCTTTGTACCACTTATACACCTTCTTCTGCGACGTAGTTGAGTTCCCAAAGGCTTTCTGTAGCATCCTCAACATTTCAGCAGCCGAAAATGCCTTCGTATTTCTTAGCTCCATTAAATCAGACATTATTAAATCGCCGAAGGCACTTTTAGTTGTTTTATAAACTCAAGCGTATCTCAAACACCAATGATGGCATTGACATGAAATTTGGCATAGATGTCAACAACGGTGCTACCAACATTAAAAAAAATTAAAAATTAATCCAAAATAATAACGCGCGGAGCCCAAATTAAATATTCACCTTATTTTTGCCCACAGTAGTACGCGAAAGTTTCGACTATAGATCCATCAGAGACATCACTCTTCTAAGAAAGTTCACCAAAGATATTCAAAATATTCTATAAAACAAGACCTTGCAGAAATAGTATAGGGTTTTCCAATAGGGATGACATGATTTCTAAGTATCATTTTGGCCACTTTTAATATGTCATAAATAATCTATTTTCATTGTAATCAGTTTCATCATGAATGAAAACTTTTACAAACAACAACAACAATTTGAAAACGATAACGCTTTTTTTAAGAGACCATGTTCTCCGATGGGGCTTACTTTCATTTGAGTGACGCGGAAAAAAGAAACAAAACCGGCATTTCTGGTGCGAAGAAAATCCAGAAATTACTTATGAGCCCAAATTGACAGTTTTGGAATTATCGGTCCGCACTTCTTTCGAAGTAAAGCTGGTAACACCGTTACTGTCAATGGAGAGTGGTGTAGATCAAAGATAACCAACTTTTTATGACCACAATTGGAAGAAAATTATCTTAACAACATCTGGTTCCAAAAAGACGGAGTTACGTGTCATACAATAAATGCAACAACACAATTATTGCGAGAAAAATTGTCAAATTCGATTATTTCAAGAAACTGTGACGTTGAATGGCCACCAAGAAGTTGTGATTCAACGCCATTGGACTAATTCTGGAGGGGTATTTTAAGTCATTGGCCTTTAAACGTGCTTCTCATGACATACGACTTGATTTCAAAAATTGGGCTCATCAACTTCGTTCGTGCTAAAAAGTCGTGGAGGCCATTTGAATGATATTATTTTCAGAACTTTTGTGTTTTTTCTTTAAGAAATCATTTCATTTTTATAAGAAAACCCTTTTTGATACTAACCTCCAACAACCCAAATACACATTTCACTTCAGTCAGTTAAAAAAAAAAACTAATTTGACAGCAGCATTCAAAAGGAAATACGTCAAATTTATTTATTTCCTGACCTTGCTTAAAAATGCTTATCGAAATCAGCGCATAGTACTGAGTTTGGCCAACAGTTTGCACACCATTGTCCATTGCCATTCTTGTAGCACTTATGCTGGTTCACTAATAGACATTACTTTCAAAGGCGGCAGCTTAAAATGAGACTTCAGAACGTAAACTATTCGGGTGTCAAGATCGACAGAAAAGCTGGTAGAAAACCAATTAAACAAAGCAAAGGAAGCCGATGGTAAAAGAGTACAGTCCTTCAAGGAAGATCGAATAAAAGCACGCCTGACATTTGATACCAAAATATGCCCTATCCGCACTGTAATAAGGAGACAAACCAGGCTAATTATCAAGCGATACGTATTCATCTCACAAAAGGTTTTGCAAAAGTTTGAAACTCTAAGCTCTACGAAATTATCATTTACCAGGCGCTAAATCTTACAAGAGAATCTGGGGAGAGATTAAACTAAGACAAAACTTTAAAGGCACTTCAATAAACCTTTCTTTCGGACTACTATGCGAAAGATTCTATTATTGAGTTCTGGCCCGGTAAGCATGCAAAATTATAAAATATTTAATTGGATAAAAAATAAAGGTAAATTTTATTAATTTCACTCGCTTATTGGCTGGAATGTCAACCGCTCCGAGTGCATTTCTGATATGAAATTAAAACTCCACATGAAAATCCATAAGCTGTTCGGAGGAGGTTTCGAATAAACCATAGGGTCCTCAGTTAGTAGGGAAACCAGCCAGATACACAACATAAACTGGGGAAGTAGGTCGGCGGAAAATCGCTTCATCATTCATGAATATGAAATGGTATTGTTACTTTTGGTACGGAGTATATAAGAACCAAAAGAAGAAGAGATAGGCCCATCAATATACATGTCGTTATGATCAGAAAGACTGGATGAGTAGATTTAGGCATGTTCATTTGTCCATATGTCTCTCTGTTGGTCTGTTCGTCTGTCTGAAGGTCTATCTTTCTGTCATCCAGTTCATCTGTCTGCCTATCTATCGGTCTGTTTAAACACAAGCTACCCTCCCAGTATTGAAATATTTCAATCAAACTTAGTACATAGATGCACTGCTGCATTAAAGCGATATTTGTCCGAAGTGACCAGATCAGATCAGTATATATACGAATAGTTTTTCCGATTTAAGATAACTATCAAAAAAGTATCTGTGAGCATGAAATGTATTATTCCACACATGTAATGAATTACTTATTAGAATTGAAAATTACCGAAATCGGAGGACTAAATATACAGTTCTCTTATACCCATTTATGCAGAAATGATAAAAACCCAGCAAAAAGCATGCATTTTGGCTTTATACATACGTATCTGCAAAGAAATTTTGATATCGAAAATCATCGAAATTGGATCGCTAATCGTGTAGCCATTATATAACCGATTTCTTCTGATTTTGAGCATTTAAGAGCGTAAAATTTTTTATTCCACAAAAATTCAAATAAAAATTTGGTGTAGTAAATCATCGAAATCAGAAGGTTATTTTATACGGATATTTAACTAGAAGCAAGTTCACTGTATGATTCAAGCGTTCAGATGAGACGTTTTGAGAAGCGGTCTTGTAGACGTGTTTTGAAGATCGAAGTATCAAATGTGCGACGACTTTTGTGCTAAATGTCTGAAGATTAAAAAAATCGATTAAGGAAAGGTAAAAAAGCAATAAAAAGTCATACGAAGTTCGAAAATCGAACTTATGGATATTGCGGAGAATATTAGGTGGGGGAATTAAACAATTTTTTTAATAATAATTTCAGTTGGTATAATTAAACCTTTTAATTATACTAAGCATCTCAAAATTGATTTTTTTCTTTTTTTTATATTAAAGAAACAGCACATCCGGTCCGGTGTACAAACATGTAATCGCGTAAGTTCAACAAATAACTCTTTACTTACTGATAGAGCAACTTTTATGCGCTCTTTCTCTGCTCGCTTCCTCTCTGTCCTAACTTAGTGCTGGTGCTGTCTTTGTACTTTATACACTTGAATACTTTATTTACTTTATTATTATTATTGTTAAGTGTGACGCTTGATGTTGTTGTTGTTGTTGTTTTTGTTGTTCTTGTTGCATTGAATACTTTGAAAGATTACAACAATATGCTTTCACAGTCAATGTTTATACAATTTTAACTTTATTATAGCTGAAAGTGTCCCTTGGCCTCGTTAGTGCGCGCCGTAAAAAAGTTTCGCCTTTCGGTTCGCTTGGCTGCTGGACTTCGCGCTCTCAAACACTCCAGCTCCCGCAGAGCGCCACCAGAAATAGTATTATAATCAAGCAAGTAGATTATATCAGTGTAGAGGAGAGAAAACTTATGAAGAGTTGGAGAGGAAAAAATAACAATAACAACAATATCAACTAATACAACGCCACTACAGATGAGTTGATGGCCCCTAAACTTCGCGTTACTGAAAATATTAAAAAATTTAAGAAAAATGGAGCTGAACAACACCAACACCAGCAACGGAAGTTGTAACGAGAAACCCGAACAAAACAACTTTACTTAATACCCAACCAAACTGGCGGATGAAGGAGTGGAGCTGGCAAACGCCCGCTTCGTGTTGGACCCGTTTCGATGGTGGCGCATTGAAGATTACGAATGTGCGCAGATTGAAAATCACAAACATAGCGAACAGTTTACGACGCAACGTTGTATGAGAAGGGCAGGAAAAAGCAGCATAAACAATTTGAAGCGTAATAATAATAACCACTGTAACTACTTAAAGTACAACGACAATAACAAATAACACTAACAACATACGCGTAACAACAGCCTGCACATCAACATTAACATAAAAACATCAACGTAACAGCAGCCGTGCTTTGCTGTGCGACGCTGTGCGACGTTGTGCGGTGCGTGGGTTACGCCGGATGAAGCGATTACTTTTACAATAACAGTAACGATATGGAAAAACTTTAGTAATTTATGTAACATAATTATTCCATGCAAATAAAGTGCGCGTGAAGGGGCAAGAGGGTGAGAGTCAAATAAAAGAAATCTTAATGAAGCCGTGCTTGGCGACGCCATGCAAAGAAGACGAAGAGAAAAGTGAGCGGAAATGGTGTGTGAAAGGCTGCCGTAACGGAAATGCAAGCGTCTATCCGTACATAAAGATGACGCATCTAGGGAAGGGTGAGCTCGCAAGCAGAAAAAAACCTTATTACGCGAAAACCAGAAATTGAAAGCAAGAGAAGTGAAAAAGACCTAAATTATAGGTCATACTCTTAAATGTTGAGTCGCAAGGTAAATCCCTAAAAAAAGTTTGCTCGATCTCTTTGCCGCTTGGAAGGATATATCATGGCTTAACTTAAAATTCCATCAGTCTTTCATAGACGGTTTGAAGCAGTAAGTTCCTCCACAAATAGCAGGAGAAGACCGGCTACGGATATATAAAACAATAAATTTTCAAAGGAAAAGGCGCACAGAAGGCAACTTGCCTTCACTAGAGTTGATCTCTATGATTTCAGAAACTCTAGAGATTGTGAGGCTATTACTTTATTTAGCGGATGGTCTAGTCATTTAGTCCCCAGATAACTGTCTCAACCGTTGATTTAGTGCGCGAGAGAGATGGGGAGAGCGAAAGAACTTAAAATTTTAACAATTCATATATTCTCAGTGCGTGCTTCCACGTTTGGTACAGCCATTGACAATTCAACGCAGTCTCAAACTATGGCTGCGTGCACAAATTTTTTGATAGAACCCGTACTTTTCGCGCAATGTACCCATCTGCTCAACAAATCATCTACCAAATTCACCTTCGTTTTCCTCAGCACGTTGGAATGGTTCTAAAATGGAAGCAAGGAATGAGAGTCCGCCTCATTCTTCTTTTTGTTTTTTTTCTTTCACAGCTCCTGCGACATCTCTCATAAGGTGCTCCCCGCCCTTCTACCAGTCGTCCTTTGAGCCTTTGTTTTCTTTCGAGTGGACTCGTTGATGTTATTTCGGCAAAATTTACCTTGATTTGTAGGTAGTAAAGGAGTTTCCCCATGAGCATGGCGGACCAATTACCTATGAAAAGGGCGGTTTTTATCGACGTGACTCTGCTTGGTCGTATCTTATCTTGTTCCTTAAAGAAATCAGCGAGAATACAACAAAATCTGGGAATGTAGCAAAGGTAAGCCGAGGGCCTAATTACCAGAGAATTTATCTCCATTTGATTTGCAGCGTCATGGTAGCATGGATCCCAAATTGAATCCCGAAGAGTCTGAACCACATACTTTTATATCAATCCCACAGCAACCTAAAATGATTGGGTTTGAAGCATGAGCATGAGCAATTGCTTAGTGAAACCTAGTATAAAGACTCGTGACCTTAGAAAGTGAAATTATACCCCGTAAGGCATTAAGTGTCTAATTAATAATGCTCTCCTTATCTTTCTTTTAAATATCACATTTCAGTTCTCTTTTGCAAATATTTAATTTTTGGCTAAAAAAATCTCCAGCATTAAAGCCATCTTTCCAGTTTCTAATAACTTCCCCTCTTCCTTTTAATTTTCTTCACTTAATGTTGCCGCCCAGAGGTCTATTTGACATCATTAATGGTTGTAAACATCAACTTAATCTTAACGCAAATTTGAACGTCATTCTAGAAAACTTGAGGAAACGCTAACAAGTTGAAATGACAAAAAAGAGAAAAAAATGATTTTTTTTTTAGAAAAAAAGGCAAATGAAACTTATGACCACTTCACAAAGTAAAAGAAAGCAATTTGTAGATATCGAGGAGAGAGACAAGGAGAGAGAAACAGAACAAGAGTGTCGGACATATAAGGGAGTTGATGGAAAGGTAAGCGAATGCGAAGGCGTTGAATGACCAGAATGAGCAAAGTGAGTTTGCTTGTTTGCTGCTGCTGCTGCTGCTGCTGTCTCTGCTGGCAGCTAAACGGAAATTAATAAGCACATTTTAATGATTGTTGCAAAAGTTGTCACCATAAGTATAGCACCGACGAGCTGGATAACTAGGCACAGGAGAGGTCATTAGTTGCACCAAGCATATTTTCTTTTATGTTTTATATATATATTTTTTTTTTAATTTATCTTTTTTGCTTTCATAGAAAAAATATGTTACCATGACAGGACAATTACCAACGATTTACAAAAATGAATGAAATGATATACATATAAATTTATATTTTCCCCTAATCATACTTATTTGCATGAAGAATATTTAAGGTGAGATAAGCGCTGTAGAAGAAGTGATCATTGAGTCCCGCGTCCAGCGTTTCCACAACAAAGTCTACATTGGACCCAGTCAAATAGAAAGAGCTATAATCGTTCTTCTCCTCAGCTTCGTTCCTCAGTTACTTGTCGTCAAAGACCTTAACAAAGACTAATCTTGAACTAATTAACTATAGCTTCCATGTACATGAAGTGATATACTAACCTTGGCCGAAATAGGTAATTACACGAATTAAAAGAGGTATACGACAGACAGAGATAGATGAATAGTGTTTGATCTATACCAATGTAATCAGCAGGATGAATTGACAGCCGTCTGTCCGGCTGCTTGCATGCAAACTAGTCACTCAGTTTTAGGGATTTGATGTTTTTCAGATTTGAGGTTATGTGTAATAACAAATAATGACGCCCAAATAGATATATATGATCGTGAAAGATACAAAAAACTCCAATATGGCCGAAGACAACACTTCTTTCTTGCTTTAAGAGAAAGGATTTCTCTCCTGGCAATGAAGAAATGATAAATATAAAAACGAAAGCCGTTTACTTTTGATGATATGCCGACAGTATCAAGGCCCTGCGTTAGAATTGGCTAGTCATCGGCGCTTGTGAAGAGTGAAACTCTATTAGATTAACTAGAAGGAGGACGTACCAAAATTTTAAATTGAATCAGTAGAGGCAAAAGGACGCTAACCGGTGAAAACCGCGACTAATTTTCTTATCTTTCAAAATTATATCTCGAACCACCATAGAAGATTCTCGACCAAGCTAGTTAAATAATAATTAAATGTCCCTCACTTCAACCCAGCCAATGTGCTCAGTGCTGATTAGTACCACTGTTTGCAAGGTAAAATAGTTTATGCTGAGGTCACGGATTATCTGGGTATTTAGAGCATTCAGTGCGTTGAGGGTACCGTTTGTTTTATGATATCTGATATGCTTTTCTTCTCCAAACAAGTATTCGCAGAAAATAACCCACCAAAGTTTCGATTAGTGAGTTTTTCGTCAAAAGTCAGCCGTGTGATCAGGACAATTCGGCCAGCATGGGGTAGGAGAAGATCAAGAAATCTTAACGCACTAAAAAGAAAAGAAATATCTAAAATTATGTAGAAAGAAGAAGCACCTGAAATCTTTAGATGCCAAGAGGCTTGGGGCAGTGGGTTTGAAGTCTTGAGTGTTCATTGTTATTCTCAGTGATTTCACACTTGGCTCGTTTGGTGGCCTAAGAGAGCTGATGCCTGGCAACCACTTCAACTTAACCTAACCTTATATGATGAACTCATTCTCCACGCTATATGAGCTTCTAGAAACAAAAATACATTTAATGGGTTTTAAGCCGACTGAATTTCCTCTTTTGAATATCCGGCTTAGCGAGCTTGACATTAGACTAACGAAGTTTAAAAGCAGTTATGTTTTCTCCTTCAATTTACTAGCACGACCAAAAAAATTTTCAACAAAACGTTTTAAATTAAAATAGCAAAATGAGTTTTGTTGTTTTTTTTCCTTCTTCTGTTATTTTGTGGTTTACTTACCGCCATCACAGGGAAAACTCTCAGCCAACACGGTGAATAATTTATCCGCGAGCAGGCAGCGTCCTCTGGGACCCAAAGGCACACGACACACCGGACATTTGACCGAACGGCTGCGGCAGTTGTTGCATAACACATGTCCGTTGCAACATTGCCAACCAGGTGGACGAATGACCTAAAACGAAATAGGTGAAAATATATTTACATACATATATGCATATGTAATAACAAACGTGGCATTTATTTACATATTTATGTTCATAAACTCGTATTATATGCACGTATGCGCATTACATCGTTTAAAAATATGCACATATATATATATAGATATGTTTGTACGAATGAAAGTGTAACGGCATTTTGTGGTTGTTTAATTAGTTTCATATGTGTTTAATAATTTTATTTTATTTTATTTTATTCGCGTTTTGCTTCTTTCTTTTCGGTGGTTTAAAATTTTTGAAAATTAATTATATTAAGTAAGCACGCACAACTAACACGCAAACACTAGGCATGTATGTACAACATAATGTTTTGTTGGAAATTCTAATACATTGCAATTACATGAATTAATTAACATAATTTCCTCACATATGTATGTTTGGGCATGTGTTCTAAGAGCAGATGTACTAATGATGCTCAGTGGTCTCATTGACAAATAATATACATTCCATTTAACACGCAACAACAACAACATCTTAACATTATATTTCCTGCAACTAGTACGTAATAGTACTATTTATGGTGTAGTACTTAAACCATGATTTCTGTGTACAACGTCATATGAGTAGCAGTTCAGCGTTAAGAGAATAACTATTGTACAACAGTTGCTCACCACACTAAGTTAGTGTTGTATTTTATATTACCACACCACTCTGTGTTTTGTACTCGAATACTATGTTGGAGAGAAGATTTCGTCTTGATTTTTTATATCGTATTTATAATCACGGTAAATGAGAGATCGGAGTTTAGAACTGTCAGAAATGAAATTCAAGATTCGGATTCAACAGAGGATCTTATAAGTACCTTAAAATTGTAATTCAAAACACATAAATTAACTAGTTTTGAACCAGTGTGTTTGTGGGGAATTTGCTTGCAATGGTTAAATTATAAACCAAGGCTTACCTTCTCTAGGGTAAAAAACTTACGATACTTGTTTTTGTAAGAATATTTTTTAATTTAAAAATATCGAAAACATATCCACATATTAAGTTAAAAAGGATGGTTTTATGAAACTGTAAATAGTGTTTTATAAATGTCATTGATATCGCAAATATAACACGAGAATTATTGACTACTTAACCTAGTAGTGTTTGTACGCATGCCGATGATGAACGCCAGGGAAGACAAACTATGCTACATTCTCCAGTTTTTCCTAGATAAAGGCGAAAACGCAAATTGTACTGTGTTCATGCTTCATTTCTACTCGGCCTTGATTCACTCAGGTTTATTTCACTCGAGTTTATTCTACACGGGTTAAGCCTACACGCAAAAACGTCAAATGTTCTACTCGAGTTGAATATAGAATGAAGTTAATAGCAGGGCTGCTAAGCCCAACTTTCCTAAATTTTAGTAAAAGCTTAGGTTTACAATTATATTTTTGGCAAAAAGTTAGCAAGTTAGGAAAACTCAGTATCAATCAGCTTAAATGCAAATCAGCTGATTTCAACTCAACCTGCGTTTACGCTGACGAGTTAACACTTCTACATATGTAAAGAAAATGTATATAATTTACCCGAAGAGACGCCTTTGCGCGTGCAGAAAATTTGTTAATGCTTGAGAGTTTAATCTACCCGAGCAGAATAAACCCGAGTGAACTTAACCCGAGTAGAATAAATCCGAGTAGAAACGAAGCGTAAACTTATTATCAGACAGTGAAAATGTGAATAGTGTAACAGTCAATCATGTAGAATTTCTGTTTCGCCGTTTTCGTTCCGATAATTTTTATATTTCGAGCTTACATATTAAAAATATTCTCGATCATGAGAATTTATTATATATCCTTAACGGTTTTTATTGAAATAATAATTATTGTTAAAATTAATAGAAACCGAGTAGTTAAACCGGTGACCGGTGTCTAGAGAATGCTGAGTTTATGAATCAAACTACTACTCCAGCTTGCTAAAGGCAAAGAAAAAAGCTCAAAGCTTAGATGCTGAGCTATGGAAACATGGTGCGGAAAAACTGCTTAGGATCATTCATTACCTTTACATAATGTGGCCGGACGAGAGCACTTGACAATTCAAACCTAATTGAGCTCTGCCCAATCCATCAAAAGAGTGACGACACAGTTTTTGTCAATTTTCATGCGATTAGCCTCCTAAATATCGTTCCTATCGCCTTATCCAGCATACTGTGTGAAAGACTAAAGCCATGCATCAACGCACCAACACCAGATATTCATCTTGCGTCAATTCTCGAAAAGATCCACTATAAAAGGGCTGAATTCGCTTAAATCTGCGTCTGAATTTCCTATTACCGAAAAACTTATACGGCTATGTAAACTCGCATTTAGCAACACCAATAGCTTGGTCAGAACTGAGCAAGAGTTTTTTGCGGAGAAAATAATACGATCTGCTGAGCTAACTAGGCAAGGTACAAACAAGATTTTAAAAGCGTCCTCAATTGAAGGCATTTGCCGATCATAATAAAATCATGAGCCTTAACAACGGCACTGTTAGCTCCACGCAAACAGGACCAACAAAAAATCGGAAAGTGGATACTTTATGGCCCCAATAGCTTCTCGAATTCCATCTGTCAGGTCATGAATCGACGTTGACTTGTTGGTGTAAATCTTATCTTTTACGTGACGCCCAAGGGAGAAATGGCAGGGTACGAAATTATTAAAGTCATCTCCTCTCCTCTTGGAGAGATAAGACGGTCCGAAAACTTTTCCTTTAAAAGATCGATGGTTCAGTTGGTTGCGTGCTTTGTTCTGCTGTCTTTTTGTAAAGTAAAGGTTGTCCAGATCAATAGCATCCAATTCCGACAAAACAAAACGCCATTTATAATCTCTCGATAGCCCAAATCATTCACCGTAACAGTTCCTTTAGTACCATTTTCGAAAAAAGTAAGATGCCATGACGCCACCGGGAAACGAACGGCACCAAAGAGTTACGTGTTGAGGATGAAGAAGCTTTTCAACAATAAATCTTCAGTTTTTCGAGCCGAAATGCCACAGTTTTGCTTATTGACGTAGCCATCGAGGTAGAATTGGACCTCATCAGCCAAGTTGATTATTCGATAAAGTTCCGAATCGTTTTCATCCTTTCATTTCAAGGACCCAATCACCAAAGACACGACGTTTTTGGTAATCGGCCGCCTAGAGTTCTTGTGTTAACTGAACTTTATATGTCTTAGGACACAAGTCCTTATGCGAAACACGGTGTTATGACGTTTGTGGAAAGCCTAATTCCAAAGTACAACCGGGAATGGAGACACTTGAGGTTTCTTCAACACTTTGAGCCGCAGCAGCAATATTCGCAGTTGTTCTTGGGCAACTTATGTACCGCAGTTCGATAATAAAACAAGAAGCTGTGTTGAATGGGTCTGGTAGTGCGACAAGATGAATTATCTCCTGCCATAGTGTGCAGAGGAAAAGACGGTGTCACGTTCGGTAGTCTTCGAGAGTAAAATTTTGCAAGCCCACGGGTGAAAAAAAGGAAGAGAGTAAAAGGATCAGGTGAAGAGCGACCTGACATCACGTAGGTTTTCCAATTATTGGCACTTAACAGCGCAATAAAAGAAACCATTGATGCGCCTCGACTATATTCGCTTGAATGTCGCCTTCGCCAATGAAGATGAAGAAGAGTGTATGAAATATTCTTCTTTCTACATTCAACGAAATTCTAAAAAATATATATGCCTTAATTTAAATTTCAACAAATTTGAAATTCAAACAACAACTCTCTGTTCAAATTCACTACTTTCTTCTTTTGCCATAATTTTTGACTTTGAGGTTGGAAATTGAAAAAAAAACCCAAAACGTATGTAAATATGAGTTTTTCTTTCTGTGTGTGTGTAAGTGTATGTGTTTGCTATTAGAAGTCAATATAACAAAAAATACTCATAAGACACCATAAGTTAACCACAAAGTTAACCACAAGGATATGGTAAATCAAATTACAAAAATTTGAATTCTCAGCAGTGAAAGAAGAAGAAGAGAAGCATTAACTTTTTCAAATGTTAGCTTTTGAATTTTAAGTATGATATGACACACACACACACATGTATATATTTATTTAGATTTTAAAGTGCACTTTAAGTTAGAAAGTCTAGAGAGGACGGACGCAGAAATCGAATATTTGCTTTAAATATTTATTTAACTATATATAATATATATATGTATATATATATATATATGTATGTACTATTGCATCTGGCTAAACACCTGAGTGATGTGCAAACATTCAAAATCACTCCATAATAGTATGCAGTGTAAATACGTTTGAAATATTAGTGTGCAAATATACACAAATAAAAATACAACAAATATTTAAATGCACACACTCATACATACTTACATAGTCTTTCTTATGCACTTTACATATAGCCTCCAGTGACAAGAATGTTTAACGGATTTATACTTATAATTACACAGAGCAAATTTTAACCTAAATTTCAAGATATTCTTTAGCACATTCACACACACATACATACACAAACGCAGCCAAACAGATGGGCATGAGTACGATAGTAAATTTAATGAATTTATTTATTAGCAAAGTCCAAAACTAGAGCTCTTACATGTTCAACTCAGTTGCATAACTGTTTAATTGTGTACCAAAGCCAACAACAAACAAAATGTATGTATGCATGTACGAATATATGTGTGTGCCCGTTGTCCTTCCACTCGGAGGCAGTTACATTTAGAATTAGCCAAAAGCATTGTAAAATTAATTTGCAATGATAATTCTTGACACAATAAGGATTGCAAATACACATACATAAACATAGCCTTATTAATTGCGCAACTATGTATGAAAAATAAATATATATATACTCTGTTTTTTTGTACCGTTGTTAATGTGGCAAAATAGATTTCATTTATGTGAGTAAACTTAAAAGCAATGTCAAAGATCGTAATTGCTTAGACACAAAACTGCATTAAATATATTGAGGTATACCTACATACATACATACACACATACACGTATGTATTACGTGCGTGCAAAGTAT